TGACTAATTTTTTTGTATTGGACATCCTGTTTGTAATTTGTCCTCATGTTTTATTTACTTTCCTTGAATATGTTTGAACAGAGTTCTTAACTGATGTATCATGATGACAGACAGCTCCTGATCTTGAAGTGTTATCATTACTGAGAACTATATAACCCCTAGTTATTTGCTGCTACTTGGAAGAACAGTGCATTGATAAAACAGAAATTTGCTCTGCAAATTGGATGTAGATGTTACTTGCTTTCAACTCTGGCTTGCTGAAAGACTTTAAGATGCAGCTCAAACCCCTTGTTGTCTGTGGAAGTCTGTTCACTTGGTCTGTTGCCACCACCTTTTGAAACCAGTTAATCTTAAAGGATTTCGGCCAGCTCACAATAGTCCTACGTGGTGCACAACTCAAGGTCAACCATCTTGGAAGAATCAGAGATCATTTCTTTTGGCTGACAGTGACACCTGAAAATCATGGGAAAAGGCACTCCTCTTTCCAGGCTCTTGCTGTGACTTAATCTAGGTGTTGGTATATCCTATTTCCACCTGTAAAACTGGATATAAAGCCCTCCTCTGTAGACTATTTTTGTTTCTATAGATTAAAAGCGATCATTTAAGAGCTAGATATTGCAGAGTTTCTGCTTTGGCAGGGAATGTAGTTCAAAAATCCTAAAATTTGAAGGATGTCTTTTAAAGGTCTAAGTGACCTTCGGTGTGGTAGAAAATGAAAGGCTGGTAAATTAATGACTTCCAGGCTATCTGATACCTTCCATTATGAAAAATGTTTTTCAAATACTAAAGTAGTGGGGTTTTTCCATTCCATTTTCATAGCTTTCTGACAGCAGACCTATGGCTCAATTGACTCAAGAGCAGAGAATTTTCACTACAGCTGGCTCTCACAACTGAAAATTGCAAGCTGAACTTTTCTAGGATTGTTCTCGCAGGCTACAGGGTCTTGACTTGCACTGCCACTTGAAAGCAGCATGTCCATGATATTGTTTCTCATGTCTGTAACTTCACCTGATTTTGTGTCTGTCTTTGAGTGGTTTACTAATGATAGTTTGTGCAATAAAAACTATTTTTCTTCTTGGAATGCAAAAATAGCAGGATAAAAGAGTCCAAAATTCTAACACTGTGCATGCTATGGGCATGAAGGTTGAATTTCACATGAACTCTTAAAAAAAATAAATGTTAACAAATGTATTTTTTTAGCTTTGCATAAATTTAGTCACATAAGATTAAACAAATCTATTGTGATTTATATGAAATATTCAGTTGCTTATCACTCTGTCATCAGTTTTTTGAATGTATCTTCATTTTTTTCCCTAACACATGGCACAAGTCTATTACTCTATTCTGGTTTTTATATTCAATTTCTGACTGTCTGTATGTTCAAATTTGTATATAGCAAAAAGGTATAGCTGATATAAATGGGTCAAAATAGCAAAAGATACTAAGTTTTAGCTGGAATTCTAAAAGACCAAAATTCAGACAATATTTGTAGGGGAACAAATGGAATCAGGCTGAAAACAAGGAGAACAGACTAAAAAAATAAGTTTTAAACCCTACAATGCTTCTAGACCACTACTTTCCATCAATTTTTCTTTGAAGTAATGTCCAAGATACACCACTATGTACAATTTGTGCAAGGGATTTGTCATGTAGGCATTTTCTCCCCCTCCTAGAACCTGGAAAGCAAACTAAGAGGGAACAACTTGCTTCCATTAATATGCAGGCAAATAAAAATAAAAAATTGCATGGAGTTGCAGCTGGAAGGGCTAAATTTGAGGCTAAGTGACTATCTCTCTTTGCAAATATGTGCGTGTTTGAAATCGGCTCATTCTTGCCAAGTTACTGAGGTCTGTTAGTAGCTCGTCTGACACCTACAAGGATGTCAGCTGCATTGAGAAATGAGAACATTACACTTAAAATACAGACCCCTGTAAAAATAATATGCCTATAACAAATAATCAGTTTGTGTTCATCTTTTCTATCGTCATGTTGATTTTCCACAGTTTGATCTTGCTTCACACAGAAAGCACTCTGTGCTTTTTGAGGCAGAAATCCTACCCCAGTACATAAAGGTGAAATAATAAAACCATATGTCATAAGCTTTGCAAGCAACTATCATGGCAACATAGCTACTTTATAATTTTTTTGTTCTTCTCAGCATACCTGAACTGCATCCAAATGTGAGAGCTCTTTAGACTAGTGTATTTTTCTTCTGCAGAGAATCCTGAAAGTTTTGGCTCCAGTGTCCAAGATAAGACTAATAGTAAGTTACTGTAGTAAACAATGCATTCATATTTTGGTTTTATTTTGTAATTGCTGCTGACTATTCCAATAATAGAGAAAACTGTTTTGCCTTAGCTGCTTATTAGATGGTCTGATTGTGACTCAGTCTCTTCGTTCCTCTTCTGACGAATGGCACTAGGTATGAAGAAAAAGAGCAAATCATTTTGCCACAGAGTTACTGATACTTGGCCAAACTTTCTCATATCCTTTCTGGATTTTTAAGATCTTGAATGTTACCATAGTTACTGCTGTGGGTTTCTAAGGTATTCAGATGCTACTTTTTAAAAATCATTTCAGCGATTAGAGTTTAAAAGAACTTTCTGCTATAAATAAGTTCTTCAGTGCAGCTTTTTGTCTTTGAATTCTGAAGAGATTTGGGAAAAACAGAAGTAGCTTCCCTGCAGGGCATATTCGGAGGAAAAGTTGAACTATCTGTTTGTTCTTTGCCCTCTTTTTCCTGATACAAAAGTCTTTGCTGAGGCCAGAAATTTTCTTTTATTTTTTTTTACTGCCTTATGGTGTCTTCCTAAATTCTAAAAAACCTACATAGTGTCCCGAAGTTGTTATTGTCTGGTGATCCAGAATGACATGAGTACTGGGAAAGGAAGGAGGAGTAGCCACGCAGTTCTGAAACTAAATACCAGTACTTCTGTAATTTTCTTGAGAAAACTCTCTCCAATGTTGCTGAGTTCCCTCTGTAAGAAATGTTCATAGATAATATGCAGGTAGATTTTTCTACTATAGAAAGAAACTATTTGCTCCCTAGTCTCCATCGACCATGTTGACAAGATCTTGCTTACAGAGTGAGGTAGTGTCTACAGACTAAACAACTATGTTTAACTTGAGAGAACACACTTCTAGTGGGCTTGTTTCCTGTCTCTCTGTTAAATCTGAAGACTCTGAAAAACTTAGGTTGCAATCTGTCTGCAGTTTTTCTCCTGTTGTGTTTGTCTATCCTGCCATCCCCTGTTTCCCCTGCTGGCACTATATCAATTATACGAAGCTGCTTAAAGGGTCAGAGGTGAATTAGTGCCAACTTCATGGTGTTTCCCTCATTTGGCAATTTATTCTTCCTTTTTCTCCTTTAGGGTTTAGCACAGGATTAAAAGGAAGTCTGCCAGTAAGTTGGTTTTTAAAATACTGTTGCACAATGAAGCCATCCAGCCCGAGCATAAACTACCAGTGATGCTTTGCGTTGTCCTTGTGTCTTATAGTTTATTTCAAAGAATTCTCAGTGAGTTATATTATTCAATTCTTGTAATAAAGGAACTTCTTAATAACCTTAATCAAATACAGTATTTTAATAAATTCAGCTGCCTTTTTCTTTTAATACATATTATTCATATCTATAGATTAATATAGATATTATATATAAAATATATTTCATGTATCTGTATCTTTTTTATGTAATGTAAACAATATTTTATTTGGAGACCAGTTAGATTGCAGTTGTTTGTGAATTTTTCAAAAGTCTTACTGAATTATTCTTTTTGAGATGTGGTAGCATTTGGCTCCCCTGACTTAGTTTAGACATTTCAGTCATAGGTAGCATTGTTTTCATGTCTTCCGCATTGTTAGTGTTGAGGGTATTCTGTCATGTTGAAGTATAGTGCTAAGTAATTTTCCATCTTAGTGTGACAGTAAGCTAGGCAAGTCTTTCCATATCTCGTTGCTTTTTAAAAATATACTTTTTAATTATTCCATTATTGTCCCAAAGCAGTCAAAAATCTTATAGCAAGAAATGAGGAGGGACTCTGAGTAACCTGGTCTAGCGCAAGGTATCCCTCGCCTGGCTGGAGGGTTGGAACCATATGATCTTTATGGTCCCTTCCAACCAAAAACATTCTATGATTCTATGAATTGTTGAAGTTGTTATTTAACATTCCTTGGGAATGGCTTCAGAACATCTTTATCATTATTATCTTTAAATGAAAATTCCGTGTTTCTCTATAAGTATTTAAAAGAGTAAATGCAGACTTAGAAAAAAGATTTTTAAGAAGTTAGGAGTCCTTGAATATTTAAAATCACTACTCACACCATTCATATCTCATCTGAAATAAGAAAAAAGTAGAAAAAAATGAGAATTTGAACTTATCTTTTTACTCTATGTAAGGAGCTGCCAGGAGTTGTACTTAAATCAATGTTAAAAGGGGTCACATATCAAAATATCTCTACTGTTGAAGTTATTGGTACAGCTAGCATTTTGTTTTGCATTTTTCATGCTTGTGGTTACTGCAGATAAACCAGATTCTTTGTAAAAACTGGAAGTGATATAGACATTCCTAGTAATCCAAAGTGACTGATAAACACGTAAGGGTTTTCAAAATGCTTGTTAGGAAAGTGAGGGATGGGAAAAATGGAGGATCAGAAAAATGGAGGGATGAGAAAAATGGAGGATCAAAAAAAAGAAGGGATGAGAAAAATGGCAGAATCAGGAAAATGGAGGAATCAGAAAAATGGAGGGATGGGAAAAATAGATGGGAAAAATGGAGGGATGGGAAAAATGGAAGGATCAGAAAAATAGATGAGAAAAATGGAGGATCAGAAAAATGGAGGGATGAGGAAAATGGTGGAATCAGGAAAATAGCGATATCAGGAAAATGGTGGATCAGAAAAATGGAGGGAGGGAAAAATGGCAGAATTGAAAAAATGGAGGGATGGGAAAAATGGAGAGATGAGAATAATGGAGGAACCAGAAAAATGGCAGAAAGAGAAAAATGGTGGGATGGGAAAATGGTGGAACCAGGAAAATGGAGAAATGGGAAAAATGGAGGCATAAGGAAAATGGCGGAATAGGAAAAATGGAGGATCGGAAAAATGGCAGGAACTGGGAAAATGGCGGAACCAGAAAAATGGCGGAACCAGGAAAATGGTGGAACGGGAAAAACAGAGGATCAGAAAAATGGAGGGATAGGAAAAATGGGGAAGAGTTAGAGAAAAAAATATACTTTTTAATTATTCCATTATTGTCCCAAAGCAGTCAAAAATCTTATAGCAAGAAATGAGGAGGGACTCTGAGTAACCTGGTCTAGCGCAAGGTATCCCTCGCCTGGCTGGAGGGTTGGAACCATATGATCTTTATGGTCCCTTCCAACCAAAAACATTCTATGATTCTATGAATTGTTGAAGTTGTTATTTAACATTCCTTGGGAATGGCTTCAGAACATCTTTATCATTATTATCTTTAAATGAAAATTCCGTGTTTCTCTATAAGTATTTAAAAGAGTAAATGCAGACTTAGAAAAAAGATTTTTAAGAAGTTAGGAGTCCTTGAATATTTAAAATCACTACTCACACCATTCATATCTCATCTGAAATAAGAAAAAAGTAGAAAAAAATGAGAATTTGAACTTATCTTTTTACTCTATGTAAGGAGCTGCCAGGAGTTGTACTTAAATCAATGTTAAAAGGGGTCACATATCAAAATATCTCTACTGTTGAAGTTATTGGTACAGCTAGCATTTTGTTTTGCATTTTTCATGCTTGTGGTTACTGCAGATAAACCAGATTCTTTGTAAAAACTGGAAGTGATATAGACATTCCTAGTAATCCAAAGTGACTGATAAACACGTAAGGGTTTTCAAAATGCTTGTTAGGTATTAAATATAGAATGAAGCATCATTTGAGTCTTCAGGAAAATGCTGGAGAAAAAATTATAACATAATTAAAGATAATAGAGAGTTGATTTACAGATGACTGAGATGACAAAGATGATAAAGTAAAGCAAGGTATCACCCTACAGAATACATTTTCCTTCCAGCTAGAGAGGTAGAAGCTATGTTTGGGTACCTTTTGCACAGCAGAAGGCACAGATGGTATGGAATTTCACAGCTGTCTTCCATTAAGAGTTACTGGTAGCATAGATGAATGTAGTTAACATCTAGTGTGATGTTCCACCCTTAAGGGGAAGGAAGCACCTAAGATTCGTAAATGCTCATGATCAAAAGAAATTATAAAAATCAGAGGGTCTGCGAATAATTAGAAACTTTAGCTAGTAAATTACACATTTGCCATGGGAATTGGTATATTAGTCCCTGATCTACTATATATGCACATGGCAGAGAGGTTTGAAAAAGGGGGTAGGGTAAAAGGGAAGAGAAAAATTAAAAAAGAGATGAATTAGACAAAGAGAGAAGGCAAAAGAGGAAAAGAGAGAGAAAAAGAGATCACTAGTCCTGGTTCTGGATGGGATGTTGATCCTGTTTTCAGTGTTGATCCAGGTGATAATCCTGATTTCAGAGTCAGTCCAGCTGTGTCGCTCTGACTGATGAGATGTGCAGGGTCCTGGGGGTGCTGCCACCCAGGCTTGGAGGGGGGTACATTTTTATGGATAGGTGACTCTGCCTCAAAGATAGGTTTCTCACTTTGTTTGCATTGTTCTTGTCTCCATGAACTAACAAGGATGTTTGTCCCAGACAGATGCTGCCCTATCTCTGCATGGCTCCCTTTTTCCAGCCAAAACTTGTTCTTTCTCATGGTGTGTTAATACAAACAGTCTTTGGTTGGCTCCACAGCCATCTGGCTATCAGTGTTTGAGACATATACATTAGTCCCTTATCTTCTGGGAATAGAGCTCAAAAGAATAAGTTTTAGTCATAGTGATTTCCCATCCTGGTTCAATAACAAAATATTATTCCACTTGTGTTGTTATTCAGTAAAGAAATCACATTTCCAAGGCTGTCTGTTAAAAAACAGAAGCTCGTTAGACAGCACTAGTTCCTGGGAACAGACTGTTTCTGGTAAGCTCAAGAGGGGCTTAGTGCAGGTGCAGTTCATTAAAGCTGAGGTCTAATGAGCATTTCTCAGATCATAATGCAGTGTAGGGTGAGGGGGGATGCACAATCCACTGCATGACTAAAGTCAACTTCTATGGGCCTCTACATCTAGCCAGCAAGAAATCTTTACTTTTACCCATGTCTTTGTCCTTACTATTGCTAACAACAAAAGTATTATGGAGCCACAAAAAAATGTTGATTGAATGGTGCCACTGGGAACCATCTAGTCAAACTCCCTACTCGAGCAGGGCTAGCTTACATCAGGTTGTTTAGGTCCTTGTCCATTTGAGTTTATAGTGTCTCCAAGCACTGTAGTTCCCAAGATTCAAATCCCAGATTTTAAGGTGAGCATGATGTTTACCTTTTTCTAGTCATCAGAAAGTTTTCCTGATTGCCATGGTGTTTTGAATATGATTGACAGGAGCTTTGGAGTAACTCCAGTCAGATCCCTCAGTACCTTTGCTCACATCCCACCTAGTTGCGTGGAGCTGTGTGTGTCCAGTTGCCTTAAGTGCCTGCTAACTGCCTTCCTCTACTGTAGGTAATGCATTGCTCCCATAGACTCTGTAAGTAGACTCTAGGACTGGGAGGCCTGAGAGCCAGATTTGCCAACAAAACCAAGACACAAAAAGGCATTGAGTATCTTGACCTTTCCCATGTCCTTTGTCACTAAGTTCCCTGCCCCACTGAACAGCAGACATGCACTTTCTTTACTTAGTCTTCCTTTTGCTGCCAATATATAAACTTTTTTCCTTGCCTGTAACTTCCTTTGATTATTTCTACTCCAGCTGAGCTTTTGCTTTGTAATTCATTGCTCTACACTTGAGCAGTGCCTCTGTTGCCTCAAGTGACTTGTCCCTGCTTCCACCTTCTGGGAGATTGGACTTATTTTCAGGTGTCACTTGCTACACACCATTTTCCCTAGTTGGACTAATTTTTGTAGTCTGTTGTCTTTAGAATGTAGACATAAGTTTTTGTTGTATCTGTGTAGGAACAGTGAATGAATATTGTGTACAACACCTGAAAAAGTGCGTATGTGTATTATGACACTGTGTTCATTTTATCTGAAATGTCAAATGCTTTGTGGAATTAGATTGATGCTGTAAATCATAACCAGAGTTCTTTTTTTTTCTATGGAATCACCAGAATCTCAAGAGAAAGCTATAATTCTAAAATTAAAATTGTGAGTATGGTTGAGTTATATCACTGAGAGTTTGTGTATCAGTATAAATATCCAGATGATATGATGTGAAATATATGTCCAGGAGGTAAAAAACCCAACCTGTATTCAAATATTTAAAAAAAAAGGAAACCTTCCCTTTGAAATCTCCCAAAGGAATCAGTTTCTAAAGTAATTAAGCTATATGTTTTGAAAGAAGTATTTTTGGCATCAGTTTGTAAAATTGGCTCTTCATTTGCAGCCCAAAACATGGTTATTTTCCTGATCTCCTGGACATATTTGTAGGAATTCTGCCATTCCTCATTAAAAAAAATAATTTTTGGTATAAGGAGAGAGAAAATTACAATTTCTTTAGCTTTTTATAGCTGATATATCTCACGTAATAGAAGTATCATGTTATCATGTAAGTATATTGCTAGTACTCCAGTAGCAAAAAGGTCTCTGTCTCTACTGCAGGACACTGCTGAATAGCAAGGAGGAAATTCTGGCCTTAGTCCATTTTTCCTGCTAGTCAAAGTCGATACTTTTTTTTCAGTAGTAAGATTTGTTTAAACCCTATTGCTCAGTTCTTGGTGCGAGGTTGCTTTGCTTTTTGAGTCCCTTCAGCTTCTTCCCTTTGTTCTTTTGAGTGGACAACATCTACAGCGTATTGTCAATGGGTTTGGGGGGATATAATTAAGATGTGACCTGCATGTGCTTTGTCTGCCTCCAGATTTGGTAGTTAAGGAGGAAGGAGTTGCTGTGTTTTCATTCTAGTTGATTCAGTTTTTCAACCCTTCATATAGACTAGGAAAATGACATGCACAGGTACTACTAGTGCTAGTTGGCAGCTATGAACACATTGTATATTAGTCTTTTGAAAATCCCTGCAGTCTGAGCAAACTTTTTACCAGTTGTGTAACCCAAGCAGAGAGTAGTGAGAGTGCTGGTAGGACAAAAGGCCCTGAGAATGAAACTACCTGGAGACTGAACTGGCTGGTCTAGCATCTCATAGATGACTAGAAGTGGGAGTCTTTTCACCCAGAATATCTTTTATCCATGGCAAGCTCCTTTTAGTTGGTTAAATAAAAAAAGTCAGAAAAAAAAGCAGGAAAGGCTTCAGATGGGTGAGTGAGTTAAAGTAGGTCGTGAATGCTGGGACTGGCAGAGGAGAGGAAGGAGACCCATGTGGCTTGAAGCAGGTGAAAAGGAAGAGGGAGGAAACTGTCCTCAGATTCTGCTTTTGTGCTCCAGCTCTCTCATTTACTTCAGCATGATTCTTCATGTAAATGTGTATATTATTTTGTTGGTTTATACCTAATAACACCATCTAGCACTTCTGTAGGCTTATCTTAGTGACAAAAAGTGATTGTAGTTACAAACACTAAAATTTCTATTACAATGCATTAAGAATATTTGTAAGATAAAAATCTTCCTACTACCCTTGTCTAATATACTGTTTCTTTTATTCCTGCCACTGTGTCTTTCCCAGGGTGCCCTTGTCTTCCTACGTAGGTGCTTCAAATAAGAAGTGGAGATTTTCTACATGGCCAGAATGGAATGATGCAGATATCAATGCAGAAAAATGGGATGCTGGAAAAGTCGGAAAAGAGAAAGAAAAAACTGGAAAAGGTCACATTTCAGTAAGTTATGTGACACGTATTATTTCCACTGCATTTTTTGTACTTGTATTTACTAGAGTATTTGTCACAACTTCAAAATAATGTGTTACTGATAAATATATTCATTTTCAATCATCTCTTTTCAATGTGTTTAAGTAGTTCCCTACTAAACCAAAATAATAAATTAGGAGTAATGTGCATTGTTTATTTGTTGCTTCTTAAATGAACTGTTAACATGTGTGTGCATTAATGTGTGCACATTAATGGTTTAAAAAAGTGTAACCCCAAAAACTATTTCATAACATAATTAAGACTGGGGATTGGGAACAGCTGCTATGTCAGAGCAATCCCTTCTCAGAATTTCTGTAGTTTGATCTTTATTATGGGAAAAGTGGATGTTGAAATCTTTTCTGTTGCACATCTCAGTTTCTGGACATGTGAAACTCTGCAGTTCTAGTGTGCAGAGAATGGTTTGAGGGGATATCACCATTTGTAGAAAGTAAGCACATGCCAGATGCAGAAAAATTCCTCAGCTTTCCAACTTTGGAATGAATTATAAGTCTCATATGGATTTTTACGCCTTCGAACTGATTATCATAGTGAATGTATGTGTGTTCTATGCAGTGTAGTACTAAATCTCTTTCTTAAACAGTTTCTTGAACATGGCATTTTAAAGTGATATTTAAAATCCATTAAATACTTTGCTTAATCCTCCATTTTATGTTCATATGTTTCTTTTGAATGTATTCTTGTGTACTGTGTATATGTTAGCATAAGTGTTCAGAGATTATTTTTACCTTATCCCAAGCATAAATATTTTATACCTCTTGGGGCCAAAGTACTGTTCTGAGAGAAGGTATAAGTTATATACTGAATACTGCTATTAACTTGTCAAGTAAATAATTTTCCTTTAGGTCTTTCTTCTGCTCCGTTACAGACGTTTGGTATCTTTGGGCTGTACTCTTAACTCTGGCACTAATTTATTAGGTCTGCCAGACATTGTTATAATAGATTAACTGTATCTGAAAACCTTTCTTCTTTTTTAGCACAAGAGGCATTCTGAGGTATCTACTGGACTCTTCACTTCTTCAGTTACAAACTATATGAAACATTGCTCTTTTTATATGTTTAAAGGAATTATTAAATATGCCTGTCACATCAGATGAATTTACAGATCTAAAGAATTTTGTAATGTATCCTCTTTTGATCCCAGCAGGTAGCCAGAATTCAACATTATATAGGCTATTTCTGTTAGAAACAGAATTAGTAATGGCATCAGTACCTTGGAGTACACTTAGGACACAAATATAAACAGTCCTATTTTCCTGTGTGGGAAAAGGAATCAATCAGAAGTGATCTCTTTCCTTGTAACACTGAAGTGTAACACTAAAGCTCTTTTACCAAGCACCCCTATACAATAGCCTCTCTTAGAGCAGTGCAATGTGCTTGTGAGATTGTAAATTTGGCCTTGTCTGGTGTGTGTTTCTTGCATGTCCTTCCTGTAGAACTTGTGATTGAGAAACCTGTCCTTAGAGCATGAACTCCTGAGATCTGGCAGTTGTCTTTTATAGCCAACTTAATTAAAAGATAAGTTAAACTTGATTTTGTCAGCCAAGTTTAGCTGAACCTACAATATTCTTCTTCAAAGTATTTTTACACTAGTAAGCTGAAGAAAGATATGTCTTTCCAGGGACCTTTTTCGTGTTTCTTTGCATAAGCTGTGTCATTCTCACCTGCCTCCTTCTGGTTTATCTAGTATTTAAGCACTAAACTTTCCTCTTATACCATGAAGTCAGGGTTGGATGTCTCTAAAAGAAGAATATAAACTCTGTTGATCCAGTTCTGTATGGTTCAGGCTCCAAATCTTTACGGTTTCATTAAAAAAATCACAACTATTCCTAAAAGATTCCTTTTTTCCCCCCAGCTTACCTTTTTTCCTTCAGGTACTTGAAAGAGCTTGTTGCAGATCAGCATGTTGAAGGAACTTACACAATGAAACAAATAAGGAAAAGATATGGGGAGAATATTATTTGAGACTTTGGTTTGTGTTTATTTTTCTGCTTTTGTAATGTATTTTCTTTTGCTTTCCTTTGAGTAAGCAAAGTATCATAGATTTTCCTTCCCGGTAGCTCTTTCTCTTGTTTGGTCTGTAGAAGATAGAATACATCGTGGACTGTGAGGCACACACAAATGTGTATCATGCCTAAAAGCCATTTAAAATCCAGGCACAAATAAAAGACATTGACATGAACAGATTAGTTTCTCAGTCAGCACAAGCTGTATATCAGAGGCATCTCCTCATCCTACATTGTGCTATAAAGTAAACAGATATCCTATGTCACACCTTTTGTGGACACGATGTATAAGTATCACATCAGAAATGTAAGACTGAAAACTATATGAGACTCTTTAATGTGCTAATTCATGTGGCTGTTTAATTATAGTCCTCTTTGTTTTCTGTAGCAGTGTTAAATGCAAGGAACATGGTTTGTTTGTATCTAAATAGCCTTCAGATATTTGCTTTCAGTCTTCACTTAAGAGAGCTGTAGATATAAATGAGTTAGAAAAAGTACATAGAAATAACTCAGTAGAAGAATACCTGACTTAAAAGGTTACACTTTTTTTTGGAGATTTTTCTGAAAGGTAGAAAATAAAAAATATCATTTTATATAGACATATTTAGACACTGCAGACCTCAGGACAATATAAGTAAACTTCTCAGGACAATAGAAGTGGCTTTTATGTTGAATCTTCATTTTGACTTCAGCCTCCTTTATTTAAGTTGTAGATACTATTTGTTCCTTTTTATGCTATTTTACTCCTTAAGTGAATTATCGTATAAACAATTTATTATTTTAATTTTTTTTGAAAATACAATACTGTAATTAAGAAAAAATGTTCCATTTTTGTTTCTACATATTTTATGTAGCGTGTCTTTGAGGATCCTGAAGGAAAAATAAGGTTGCCAGCATCCTTAAAAGTGCATTCATGGAAACGTCCACAAGAGTTTTTGAGAAATAAGGTAAGAAACAAGCAAAGTCATGATAAAAAAATACTACTTGCCTTGCTTGTCAAAAGTAGAGGAAATTAGTTCAACAGATAAACTCACTTGACCATACCTAGTCATCCTGTCCAGGAGACCATTGTACACAGAGGAGTCAGTGCTCCATGTATCTGCTAACCTGTGCTGCACGCACAGCTTGGGTTTGAGCCTGGCGAGGTGCTGGGTGTAAGCCCTGGGCACTGGATAAGCTCAGACAGCTCAGGGGAATGGGGGAGCCTGCAGGCATCTCCTGCTTCTTGCTGGCAATTACATCACCTGCATCTCCTTGCCCTTATGTAACCACAGCAGCAATTTCTTATGTCAACACCCTTTAAATTTTACAGTGGAAATGATGAACAGAGTTGTTTCTTGTAAGAATATCCTGGCATAGCTCAAGTCTTACCATAGCTCAATAATGCTGAAATGGGATCTGTACAGAATGCTGCACAGATGGATCAGAGGCCTGCTTGATGCCACACAACTTGGTTTTCCCAATGTCTAAAAGGACATAAGTTTACCTATACTAACCCCTTTCTTTATAGTTAGCTCTAATAATAGCACTTTAAATGTAACTATACTGAATCTGAGTACCTTTCTTAATGAGATAAGTTCACCATGGACCAGCACCTCCTAGTGGAAAACATCATGGCAGTGTATCCTCCTGCATCTGCTTTGCTTTTTGACTTCATGTGCACTTAGAAGACAACTGGACAGAGAGAAGCTTTTCTGGTTTTCTTTGTGTTCATTTTTGCTCACATAAAAATCAGTGTCGTGGCAGAACAATTTCTGTTTGTTCCAAGTAAGACTTCCCTTGAGCAGGTATCTGAACAGAATATCTCTAATGAAACCATGAACTAACTTTACCAGAACCATTGTACTTTTAACTCACTTCAATGGTTATATTTCTCTGGGCTGCACACAGTACTTGTCCATGTCTTTGCCAGCACTTGTCTAGAGGATAACCATAACATTTTTAAATTGTGCATAGCTTTTATTCAGTATATTTTTAAAATTAATTGCTAAGAAAATAAGCAGCCTACCATTTCAAAGGTTAGTTTTCTAATCTAACTTTTAAAGCATTGGACCACCCTTCCAACTTTTTCAGGCTTGTCAGTTTTCCTTTTGTCAGCTTGTCAGTTCCATTTTTTATTAACTAGACACTAAACAGGTCCAAGTTTAATTTTTAATGGAGGAAGGAGAGGGGGAGGTCAGAGGAGTAATTGACAAGACCAAAAGATTGGATAGAAAACACTGCCAAAATGCAAAAACTGAGTGGAGGTATCTGAAGGATGAGGGCAAGAGAGCTGACAGCCCAGAAAGCTAGGGAAACATGTATCTGTATTAAAAATAGCTTTTAAAATCTGTCTTTAGAGCACTATGAAGAAAGCATTTGTTTTTTTTAAGACCTGATTGGCACTTTCATGCCTGTTTTGGTCCATTATGTATTTTGAAATGAGAAGCTATGATTATGAGAACTTTTATATGGTAAAAATTAATGTAAATGTCAAGTGGTGAAAGGCTATTAAGAATGATAGACGTTACTACCTAATTTATTAGTAAGTATAATAGAAAGCATAAACAAGCCTATTTAGTGTGGTAAGCAAAGAATTGAGCAGTGATTACCAGTATGTGATGAGAGGCACAGACATATTTAGTTCAATAAGCTACAGTCCCAGTACACTATTTCTAAACTGCTTACAAAAGGAAATGGGCTGTGTAAACAGGTAATGGTAATCAAAACTATGTTATGTAGTCAAAGGTTTTGATAAAGCCACTGTTCATAGTGAAAATACTGCTATCTAGCTAATGATGAGGAAATAAATTCCTGTGTGAGTGGCCAAGGAGATCTCAGAGTATGACAGTGTCATGATCATGACTTAATGAGAACCGCAAATATTCTTAATAAATTGAGGGAATCTAAATTTATTTATGTGGTTATTTCATTTGATACTTATTAATAAAATCTGGTAAAAAAGTATTTTTTTTAGCATTCTGAAGTTCTTAATTTTAAGAAACTTTTCTTAAGAAATATCAAATTATCTACAAGTTTGGCAAATGTGTAACGAATGAGTAATGAATGTGTCTAACATTTGCATGTCACTACCATTAAACGCTAGTGCTCATTTAATTTTTTCCAGGTAATTTAGTTATGGATTTTTCTAATTTACTTTCTCCTAGATTCCTGTTGTTGTCAAAAATGAAACCTCATTTGACCTTGTTTCAGCAAATGAGCATATATTTTCTAGTGAGGTAGGTAGAAATACATTAATGATCCTTTAAAAAAAGGTATTTTATTTCATTCTTTTAAATTCTTTTTAACTTTTTAAATATCACTCCAAATTTCTAAGTTGTGACAAAGTGGAAAAAGAATGATGGGAAATACTCTAGATTTTTATAATTAGTGCTTACCTTTTTCAGAATGTGAAAAATTAAATCAGTGATGGTAAGAGATTTTCCACTTCTTTTTTTTTAAAAAATATACAGCCTCTAAGCTATGATAATTATTACTGGATAATATTGTCTAAAGATAAGAGCAAATAAAAGCTGTATTGGAAGGGATTTATATTTTTCATTCAAAAATGATTGAAGCCTCAGTGAAGCCTTTCCCGAAGCCTTAGTGTGCCTGCATGTGTGTGCAAATGTCTGTCACCCAGCCAGTCTTTTCCATCTCTCCAGAGCTGAATAAATATTTACTGAATTTCTACTGATCGTGGGAAAATATAAAACAGGGAGAACCAAGGCATCTAAGTGCATTACTGATTATAATATTACTTCATAATTTCTGTTTTCTTCAATGCAAATTCAAAGTTCAGCACCAGAGATATATGGCAGGAAGCCACCAGAAAACAGGTGATTTAGATTCTACAGAACCACTAATTAATTTTAGGGGAAGTGTCTTGTAGTTAAAGCTTATTCTCATTCTTGTTTGTATAAATCACTGTAACTGGTAATACAGGTGAAATCCACATGTTAGAAAAACACATGCACTGAAGTGTGATTAGTTAAAGCTTTTGTTTTAAGTTTTAAAAATTATTAAATGCTTTAAATAATTTAAGATCTTTTTATGGAGTACAAATAGCTAGTGTTAAAGCAAATACTGATTTTTAGCTGCTATAGCTTGTAACAAGCAATTAAACAAGTGACAGTTCACAAGTCCTGTAACATAGTTTATTTTTAAATCATATTTCCTAATTTTTCTTTGTTAAGTGATGAATAGCATAATCTATATTGTGCCATCACTTAGTTTCATGCAGTCTTATGCTGTTGTCGATAGATATTATAATGATTTGCATTAAACCATAGCAATACTTTTGTCTCACTTCTTTATTTACAACAGGGTCTGTTTTATTCTTTGATCATTATAATATAATTGACTTTATTTTTCAAAAAGACATTGCTTGAAAAAAATTTTTTTTTCTATTTTTCTCTGGGTTTAGCTGATGAGATGGATTGTAAGTGAAATTTATGCTCTCTGGAGGATATATAATGAAAAGTCCTTAACTAGTGAAGCAGCTGCACGTTTTTGGAAACCATGGGAACACATTTATGCCTTATGTAAAGCTACCAAGGAACACATGCCACTGTACAATAGCTTTGGAAAATATGTAGTGAAACTTTATTGGATGGTGAGTACTTTGCTCCGACAATATATAAATAAGATGTAGCTAGCATGGCAAATTTTAGTGGCTAGGGTATGTATATTTTATTATTGAAAAGATACAGATTTGTCGAAGTGTTGACAAATTCTTTATATTTGTTAATAAAAATGTGATTTTTATACGACTTAGAACTTAATAAAACAGAGTTATTACTTGGAAAGGCAGTATTCTAGTTCTGTAGGTTGGTGCAAATGTTTAGTGGACTCAGACATGTGGCCCACACCTCAGGTGTATTAGGATTAAGAATGTTTTTTATGGTTTAAGTAACTCGTTTGACTGACTTTACAGAGCTATTTGTATCCAAAGGTATTTAAAGGTGACTAAAGACTTCCAGTGTAAGCACCATTTACTGAAGATACACTGGTAAAACTAAAGCATCTCATGAGTTTCTAAAGATAGCAGACAATAACTTCTTAACACATTTTACAGTCAACAGGGAACATTTAATTTCATATTGAACCTCATTTTAATAAAGAAATAATCACATAAAAGTTGTCTATGTTGTTAGAGTTTTTCTGGTTACATTTGTCTTTTGCAAACAGAATATATCATACCACTAAGACATAGAACTGTCCCTATTAAATTTCCAGTTGCCCCAACGTAAAAATATTTTTGACACAGTCAGTTGGACATGGAAATTTGGAAGTGACCTTCCTTGTAAGGGAGAGCACTTAACTGATTTACATGCCTGTGCTTTCCTCATTCCTTACTGCTACCTCTGCACATGGAATAACATATTCATCTAGGGAATAAGAGCTGCATGAATTTGAGAAGGCCTAAATTGTGTTGCCCAAGTTCCTCAGCAAACAACATGATTCTGTGTGTGAATTTAATGCTACAGAGGTTGTGTATTCAGATGGTAAAACACTGGATTTTAAAGCATGTACAAGACTTAGCAGGGTGTTTTATTTTATTTGTCACTTCTGTGTTTGTTTTGGTTTGAGTCTTTGTGTTTATTCTGTTTCTTTTCCTCTGGTTGTACACCTGTATTTCAGAGAAAGTAAAAGAGGGAAAAAAGAGGGTCAAATGTTAGAGCATGAAGGAGAATGTGCAAAAGAGGAAAGACAATTATCAGTAGAGAGAGAGGAGAAACAGATTTCACAGGAGAAAGTGGAAAAGTGTATGAAAATGGAGAGAAAGGTTGAAGAACAATGAACTGGTTTCACTAACATGCCGCGTTGAGTCCTGGGGGAATTGCTGTCCACAAGATCAAACCTGTGCATAATAATTTTTCATATAACTGGCACAGTGTGTGAATTTTACTCCACATCCTACTTCCACTTTACATTCATGAGGTTTATTGAATTAGTCTCTGTAGTTATCTTTCTCTCACATTTCTATCCGTAGACCTGCCTCACATATTTTTATTTTTTTTTATTTCTCTGGTGACTTTACTTATCAACTGGTACTGCTCTCCCTATTAAAATTCAGCAACTGCTGAAAGAAGAAATGAATATGGGATCAATTAGGTCCTTTTCAAATTTGCAAAGTCTTAAATATTTTGTTATGGTTGTCACAAAATAATTCTTATGCTAAAAAAGTATTAGCCTCTATTATGCTTTTTGGATACCTTTGCCCTAGTGCCTAAATTTGTTTTCTTCTGAGACCTATAGAACTCATACAGGGTTAATCAGTGGCATTTCAGCTTGAGTCCCATAGCTTAGTTACTGGCAGAGAGCAGTAGTTTTTCCCTCTGTGATAACACATGGTGAACATTTTAGTGATTTGGTTATTCTTCGTAATTTTGTGGATGAGCTAACAAAAGTACTTGCTATTGCCCCACTATTTCCCTAGCTTCTCTGTTACATCTTCACTAGGACAGACTCCTTTTTGGAGAATGGTGGACAAGGTTATTTTATGGAATAGTACATCAGGTTACTAATGAAATATCTAGTATTAGAGATACCAGTACTTTCTCTTACCTGTTTGTTACTTATTGTGGAAATACAGTTGGTTTTTTTACATTTGATCATTTTGTGTTGTTTTGTATGGTGTTTTAGAAGATACTGTCTTAATGCTTTCCAGGACACTGACCACTGCAGCCAACCCCAGGTAGTTTTTGGAAAGCAAGGGGGACTGTTTATATCACAAGTGATTTCCAGACTTAAACCTTAAAGAGGCATTTGTGAATCTTGTGTCTAGTTAAGCTTTTTCTTGATCGTTACTATTTCTCAAGCATCTGTCACAGCAGCTGAAGAAACAGCAATGAATACATGAGCATGTTGGACTACACATGTGAGATGAAATATATTTGGAAATAGCTGCAATTAGATCAATCTCTGAAGTAAATAAGTCAGAACAGTAATAAAATGCTGTGAATACTGTTTCTATGCTTTTCATATATTATGTGAGAACTTCTTCTAAAGCCATCTGTAATGTAAATCAAATTACAGTATAATTGGGTTCTAGGGAAAGTATTAAAAGTTCTCTAACATACATGTTCACTTTCCAGCCCACAAACTCAATGTTTTCTTCTTTCCCCTGCCTCACCCTATCATAGGGATGCTGGAGAAAGATCATTGTGGATGACACTATGCCTTTCAATGAAGAGGATAATTTGTTACTGCCAGCTACAACTTGTGATACTGAACTTTGGCCAATGTTGCTGTCCAAAGCCATCATTAAGCTAGCAAATACTTGGTATGTTTAGTCATCTCACTTTCGGTTTGTTTTGTGAAGTCATATGGAATATGCAAAAGATTGTTTTAGTATATGTGGGAAATATATTTTGCTAAAAAATTTGTAATGAAAAGGACACACTTCTAAAAGCTGACACTATAAATCAGTAAAGCAAAATCCTCTGTAGCTACAGAAGGTGCAGTGTTTCCTTTTTAGACATGTTTGTAAATTTATGCACAGAAAACTTGCAAAGAAACTATTTGCTTTATCTGTTTGACATGTGATCTGCTTCACATGTGGTTTTCTGCCAAATGCAAATGTCCGTGAAGTTCTAATGAAGTTGTAATTGTCAGTCTTAACCAGTCTCAACTTAACTAGTGTTGAAAATAGAGTATTGTAAGCTACTTTAGATGTTATGGGCTGTACAGTGATCCACTTCCCTGGAACTGATCTGGAAAGTAGAAGGTGGCCTATAATGCAGTGATTGTAAATTATGCCCACAGGTTCCTGTGAGCAATGAACAGCAAGAGTTTAAATGACTAAGCTTGAGAAAATAATTCAAAACACTGCTCTGGGTAGTCAAGCTTCCTTGTTCTGGTCATATCAAGTTATGTTTGTCAGAAGAGTCATCTAAAGTACATCTGTGCAGGGTAGAGAGTTGCCTAGAGCTGCCTGTTAGGAAGCTCTGTTTGCAGGAATGTATTTGGAATAATGCATTTCTCCAGAGCACAAGGGTTAGTCATAAACAAGTGCTGGCATCTTTAGCCTTGGTCCTTGCAGGAAATCTCTCCAGAGAGTAGGTGGCTGTGTCAATTTGAAACAGTGCATTTTGGCAGAGTGGAAATAGAGCCAACTTGTGCAGAATAACCTGGGAGTTAGAGAGGCTGCTTAGGAAATGGATGTTGTAGAACCATAACATCCTTCTAGTGCCAGGGATTTCAAACCTCCATCTACAGCCCTGCAAAAAGAGGCTTTACTATGTGCTAGTATGCATAGTGTGCTTGCTAACAATTTTGAAACCATGCCATTGTACCAGAGGGAACAGTAAAATAATGGACTTCATGCAAAGGCCTTAGTAGTCAGTAGTCAGCAGTGGTTTAGAAAACTCCTAAAATGTCAAGTAATGACTTGTTTTTCATCCTGTTGTTCTGTGTATGGTTTTATTTAGCAATGAAGACTACAGAGTTTACTGTAGGTGGTTACATTATAATGCTGTATAATGTCTGCTTTTGTCTTACAGTATACATGAAACTGGAAAAAGAGAGATGGAGGAATTTACAGTTCTACATACACTGACTGGATGGATACCAGAAGTTACTCCTCTCCAGTAAGTTCTTCTATTAAACAATTTATGTATTAGTTGTTTAATATTTGATTCTGTAAGGCATTATGAAAAACGAAGCCCTAAAAGTCCTTCACCATCAGTTTTGGGAAGTGTATGGTTTTTAATTCTGGCGCTTGAGAAATGTACGTTTGAGGAAAGCAATTTTATTGTGTTTTGCTTTGTAGGTCATACAGCTGCTTGTAAAGCTATTTATCATGTTAAGCTGATGTCTGTGCTTTATACAATTAGCTAATATTAAACACTGTGATGAAAAGAGGGTTAGAGAAATCTGCTTCATTTAATATGCAGTTACAAAATATCTGCCGGTAATAACTTTATATCTGAATGTACCATAGAAAGTATATGTCATGAATTTGGAAGTAATTGATGTAATCTAGTATGATGTTTCTGCATTTTAAACTGGAACAGTTGTTAGACTTTTATTTTCAACCAAAAATGGTATTTCCAACTTACAATAACATTTTTCTTGTTTCCCATGTGTTTTATGTCCATTTTGTAGTTTTAAAGGACAGACATTCTGATTTTCCAGCTTCACATTCTTTTTACCAAATGAATGACCAGGATGCAGTCACTAGATATTTAGACTTCTCTTTTTAAAATTACATCTTTTTGCCTTTTGATATATACATTTTTGTCATTTGATATATACATTTGATCTATTCAGTTTTGGTTTATATATAATTTATTTAGGTATAATTGTTTATTTATAACCATGGTTCAGTATGAAATTGTTCAGTCAAAGACTATTTTATTCCCTTTTTCCAGTCATTTTTATGTCCCAAGCTATTCTTGCAATTTAGGTGTTTGATGTATTTGTGTCTTACATTAGTCTGTATGTAGCTCATGGACTTCGAATCTGAGTAACCTAAATTTTATTTCTTTATATAGTTAGTTTTACAACTGCAAAGGCAAAAAAACAGTGTTCACTTGCTGCAAATATATTCTGGAGGGACAAAATGTGGATGCCACAGAGACTTCGAACCACTAGTATAAGATGACTTTAGCTCATTGTACAGTCAATTAATTTATTTTTTAGGAAAAGGTTGCATGCAGTTAGCTTGTATGAAACTTATTCATGGCCCTGTTTGGGATTGTTTCTGGAATGACTGAGTTTCTCTGGAGAACCAATATGACTGCAACTGTTATGTCATATCAAAAAGCTGTTCTGTCTGGTAAAATCAGTGGAAGAGGCATGGAACTATCTGAGCTGAACAGTAAGGAAAGCCCAGTTTGGAAGTACCTTTGAGAAGCTTTTTAATGTAGAAACTCGGAATCAAGTTATCATATGGTGTAGCTGTCAAGTAGTTTGCAAGTTTCTCTGCTGCAGCTTTTATCTACTATAAAGCTTGAGAAAGGATGCTTTATTTATATGCATCTCTAAACACCATCTCTTTATGGGTCCAACCATATTCTGTCTCAACAAATTGGCTGATACAGAAAATCAAGCAAGTGTGTTCTATCTACTAAAATAACCCAGTAGCTTTTCGAAGAGTTGGACTGTCAGCTGTGGTATAATGCTGTCTAAATGAAAATCACACTTCCTTTTCTTATTGCAAATATCATTACCATTGACATTTATATGTGTTTTTTCTTTTAAAGGCCTGAATACTTAGACGAAGTTCAGGACTTTTTGAAAGAGATTGTGCCAGAATTCAAGTTGCCAGGTATGAAGACTCCAGAACCTGATATTACTCAGTCAGATACAAAACCTGAAGAGGCCAAAGCCTCAGAGTTAAAAAATGAAGTTTCATCTGTAAATAAGCAGCCAGATACACCTGAGAAAGCAAAGACGGCTGATAACATTGGTAAAGGTCTGCAATTTTAGTTATCATAGAATCAGTTAGGTTGGAAAAGACCCCTGAGATCATTAAGTCCAACATATGACTTAGCTACCACCATGTCAACTAGACCATGGTGCAAAGTGCCACATCCAGTCTTTCCTTAAACACCTCCAGGGACAGTGACTCCACCACCTCCCTGGGCAGTCCATTCCAATGTCTAACCACACCTTCTGTGAAGATTTTCCTATGTCCAACCTAAACCTCCCCTGGTGCAGGTTAAGAGTGTGTCCTCTCATCCTGTTGCTAGTTGCATGGGAGAAGAGGCTGACCCCCAGCTGGCTACTACCTTCTTTCAGGTAGTTGTAGAGAATGATATGGTCATCCCTGAGCCTCTTCTTCTCCAAGTTAAACAACCCCAGCTCTCTCAGCTTCTCCTTATAGGACTTGTGCTCCAGACTCTTCACCAGCTTCATTGCCCTGGGCTCCTCTCTAACAAGCCTGGTCTCATCTTCTTCTCCTTCAAGCCTATTTTAAAGCCCTTTCAATCAGCACTGCCAACTCAAGGGCTAGAATTCTTTTGCCCCTGTTAGATGGGTGAACCTCAACTGTTTCCTGCAGGTCTTGTGCCATAGAAAACTGCCCCATGGTCAAAAACCACAAAATTCCTGCAGTGGCACCAGTCTTTGAGCCACTTGTTGTTCACATGGGGTTTCCTGTTTCTCTCAGCATTTATCCCTGCTACCAAAGAAATCGAGAAGGATACCACCTATGCTCCTGTCCCTTCAACCAGGCAGCCCAGTGCCTTGAAGTCCTTTTTGATTATCCTGGTACTTCTCTGATCAAACTCATCACTGCTGACCTGGACAACCAGAAGTGGGTAGTAGTCCATGGGCTGAATCAGAGACAAAATTGGGCAAAATTGAGAATTGGGCCCATGTGAACCTAATGAGATTCAAAAAATCTAAGTGCAAGCTGCTGCACCTGGACTGGGACAATCCCAGACACGAATGCAGACTGGAAGAAGAACTGAAAGCAGACCTGTGGAGAAGGACTTGGGGGATGAAAAGCTGGACTTGATCCAACAGTGTTTATTTGCAGCTCAACTGCATCCTGGGCTGCATCAAAAGCTGCATGGCCAGCAGGTTGAGTGAGGTGATTCCACCCCTCTACTCTGCTTTTGTGAGACCTTACCTGGAGTACTGCATCCAGCTCTGGGGTCCCCAACACAAGAAAGGCACGAACCTGTAGGAGCAGGTACAGCGGAGGGCCGTAAAGATGGTCAGAGAGCTGGCACATCTCTCCTATGAAGGCAAACTGAGAGGGATAGGATTGTTCAGCCTGGAGAAGAGTCTAAGTTCTAAGGCTTGAAATAATGTTCTGACTGTGGGAGACTTTGTTCTTTCATGTCCATTGGGAATCTATGCTCATCTCTGTTAGTTATTTTGGAAATTACTGATGCATGAGAGCAAAGGCATGAAGAACATATTTGGCATAGTGCCAGAAATTCAAGAATTTCTAACATTGTAGTAAGGACATGAAAGTTGTGCACTAACTGGAAGGTTGGACCAAAGCCTTCCTGGCTCATTCTGAGTAAATCTGCATTTACATATTAA